GCATCAAGTAAACCGTGTTGGTACCTGCCCCACTTCGGCGAATATCACCCGCAAAAACCTGGGAAGATAAGAGTAGTGGTCGATTCAGCGGCGGAAACAGAAGGAGTCTCTTTGAACAAATTACTACTATCGGGTCCTGATCTTACGAACCGTTTATTAGGCGTATAATTGCGTTTTCGACAGAACCCAGTCGCAGTTACGGCGGATATGGAGCAGATGTTTTATTCATTTTCCGGTAATGAAGAACATAGAGACTTTCTACGTTTTTTATGGTTTCGAAATAACGATCCACAGGATGAAGTTATCGGTTACAGAATGAAAGTGCATCTTTTTGGGAATACTTCCTCGCCGGCAGTGGCCACGCTTGGCTTGAAGAAAACGGCGAAAGGGGAAGAGCACAAGTTTGAGCAAGATACCAAAGAATTTGTGGATGAAAACATTTATTTGGCAATGGTCTAATTCCGTTACCTGACAGTGAGCAAGCGGTTGGTTTGCTGCAGCGAACGCAAGCTATGTTCGCCACCGCCAATCTACGCGTACACAAAATTGCCTCGAACAATCCCAAGGTGTCGGAAGCCTTTCCATCCGAAGACAGATCAACCAGCCTTCAAACCCTTGATATGTGCAAAGATACCATACCTGTTCAGAGATCTTTGGGCGCATGCTGGGATCTGAATACTGATTGCTTCACTTTCTGCGTCAACACTGCTGACAAGTAATTCATTAAGCGTGGTGTATTGTCGGTAACGAACAGTTTGTATGATCCGCTGGGCCTGACAGCACCGGTGACGATCTTCTCAGAGATATGACAAGAGAGTGAGATCAACCGCTTCCGGAAGAATTGGAGCCAGTCTGGAACAACTTGTGTGACTTCCTTACTAACCTGCAACAACTCCATGTTCCCCGCGCCTACTCGACAACCCCAATGGACGAAGGGAATTGCGATCTCCATATCTTTTGCGATGCTTCCACAAGTGGAATCGCATAGGTCGCGTACTCGAAGGTGGTTCGTTCTCGGGAAAGCTAAGTTGGTCCCTCTACACGCGACCTCAATACCCCGCATGGACCTTTGTGTTGTTGTCCTGGCAGTAGAATTAGCTGACTTCATTTGAGAAGAACAAGTAGTAAAGGCTGACTGGGTATCGTTCTACTCTGACGGCAAGGTGGTACGTATTGGGCTATATTGCCAACGAAACGCGCCGATTTCATGTCTACGTCGGTAATTGCGTGGAGCGGATAAGAAGGTCATCCTCCTTTGAACAGTGTCATTACGTATCTACTAATTGCAACCCCGCCGACCTAGGAACTCGCTCGGTGGATGCAAGTGTGTTCTCCAAGATTCTGTTTGGATTACAGGTCCACAAAATCCTTCATCATGTTAGTCCTCCGGAAGACGTCCAAACCTGCCGCGAAGCCAAGGAAGTTTGCTCAACAACGGATCCCGAGATCAGACACGCAGTTTCCGTCAAGAAGTCCGAAGTACGAACGAGTGGTACACTCGGAACGGAACGATTTTCGAGATTTTCGAAATGGTCTACTTTGGAGAGCGCACTTTCACAACTGATAAAGTTTATAAGGTCTCGTCGAGCCAGGATTCCCATCTCTTCCCGCCTGGCAAAAAGTAGTCCAAAATCGCCAGAGGTGTTGCAACTTTTTAATTTTCATCCTGATTGTACGAAATTTTCCATAAATATAGAACATATCATTCTTACAAATCGTGTCGTTTTTGTTTTTGGATTTTTTATTTTTTGGCGGGAAAATGACATCACAAACTTGGCCCCCAAAACTTAAAAATTAGCAATGACTAATATTATTTATTTATTTGGAAGACCATGCTGTAGCAATCTTGAAACTGAAGCCTGTTTCGAAGTACGAATCCGCCATTTTGTTCTTTTTTAGTAACAAAATGGCCGATTTTTCGAACTTTGAACCAGTCTATCTTTGTAGCGAATTGTCGTATTTTGAAACAGACTTCAGTTTCAAGATTGCTACAGCATGGTCTTCCAAATAAATAAATAAAATTGGTCATTGCTAATTTTTAAATTTATGTTGCCATGTTTGAGACGTCATTTTCCCGCCAAAAAATAAAAAATCCAAAAACAAAAACGACTCGGTTTGTAAGAATGATATGTTCTATGTTTATGGAAAATTTCGTACAATCAGGATAAAAATTTAAAAAGTTACAACACCTCTGGCGATTTTGGACTACTTCTTTGCCAGGCGTGTTCCCCAAGCCAAGAACCCCCTACGACGATTAGTCACGTAGAGGTACAACGACAAGCCGAGAAGCTAATAATCGCAAGTGTCCAACGAGAAGCGTTTGGGACTGTCATGGAAAGATTCAAGCATGGCGAACAATTGACTGAGTCAAATCTTGTTCTTAAGTTGAATCCTCAGATCGATTCGGAGGGCCTCCTGCGGGTGGGAGACCGCATCGACCGTGCCATGCAGTCCAATGACGAGCGTCAGCCGTTAATTCTACCGTGGTCACATCACGCAGTATATTTCCTTGTGAAACACGTACACAGCGAAGTCAAGCACCATGGACGTCATATTACGCAAGGTAAACTTATAATCTAAAAGCTTTTGGGTTCTCAGAGGAAAACGTCTAATCAACAAAGTCATTTATCGATGTCTCGTGATTGGAAGGCAAGAGGAAAATTTGAAGAACAATTGAAGGCTGATTTTTCAAACGAAAGAGTAAACCAATCTCCACCGTTTACGAATTTCGGGATTGATGTGTTTGGTCCATGGCAAGTGGTCACTCGTCAAGAAGAGGAGCCGCTCAAAGCAAACGTTGGGCAGCGATTTTCACTTGGCTGGCGATAAGGGCGATCCACATAGAGCTAATTGAATAGCTTGACACGTCACGCTTCATTAAATGCTTTAAGAAGATTCGTTGGAATCAGAGGACCAGTGGCACAACTTGGTTACGATTGCGGGACCAGCTTCGTGGGTGCGCGAAACGAGCTCGAGGCAGCACTTCAGAAATGGATCCAGGAGATATCGAAAACTACCTCAATCAGAATGGTTGCGAAATGGGTATTCAATCCAACTCACGCTTCCCATGCTGGGGGAGTGTTGGAAAGAATGATCGGCAGTTCAAGAAATATTCTTATCGCGATGTTGTATTGTATTATTTATTGTATTAAAACTTTATTTAAAGACACTAGCCCCGTCAACGGTGCGTTGTTTTCCACGGGGGGCGTCTACAATGTTAAAAATTACAAAAGATATAAGGGAAAAGAAGACTATTTACAAATTGGTGTGACCCCAGATGTTATGGTTAGACGGAGTTACAATTTATTTCAAATATATATAGTATTAGAGTTAAGTTTTAAATGGCTTTTAAACAGGTGCATTGATTCTGCCAGTTTCGTATCGATAGAGAGACTATTCCATAGCTTAGCCCCACTGTATTTAAAACTCTTTTTTAGGAATTCTCTTTTAGGCTTAGGAAGAGCCAAATCTGTATGACTATTTCTAAGATCATAATTTGTTTGCATATGATTGCGTCTTATCAAGGATTCTTTCAACGTAGGTCCTACGTAATCCTTCAAGACTTTAAACATTAATATTGCTTTGGTTGTACGTCGTCTTGTCTCTAAATTGTCCCAAGCAAGAGATTGAAGAACATCAGCAGATCTAATCTCATAACTAGCACCGACAATGATTCGGGCTGCGCGATTTTGAAGTTTTTGGAGTTTATTTTTCAAATTTTGATTACAAACGCCCCAAATGGGAGAACAATAATCAAAATACGGCTGAATCAGAGCTCGATAAATTGTTTGAAGGGTGGTTATTGGAACAAAGGGTTTAATACGTCTCAAAGTACCCAGGCCTACTCCAACCTTTTTGCAAATCGCCTGAATATGTGAATTCCAGTTAAGATTTTCATCTAAACCGAGACCAAGACATGTGAAAGAGTGAACTCTGGGGATGCGTTGGTTATTTAACATCACTGGATGATCAAAAGTTGTGGAATTAATATGATGTTTAGAGCCAATGAACATTATTTTGGTCTTAGTTGGGTGGTGTTGTAATTTATTTCTAGAAAGCCAATCACCGATTCTACTCAGATCGTGATTAAGGTTTTCGGTTAATTCAATCAAACTGTTAGAGCTGCAGCAAATTTGGGTATCGTCAGCATATAAATAAGGAGTAGTTTTTTGAAGGCATTCGGGGAGGTCATTGATATAGAGTAAAAATAACAGTGGACCTAAAATAGATCCCTGCGGAACCCCAGAAACAATCCTTTTTGACGATGACATTGAATTATTAACAATACAGACTTGCTCCCTATTATTTAAGTAAGATTCAAACCATCTTAACTCAATATCCGATATACCGAATTGATCTTTTAATTTATGAAGCAAAATATTATGATCAATTGAGTCGAAGGCTTTACGAATGTCAAGAAAAACAATGCCGCTCAATTGACCATTATCCATATTTTCATAAAGAGTATCGCACACCGGAGTTAGAGCGGTGAGAGTTGAATGTTTAGGCCGAAAACCATGTTGATGTTTTAAAAGAAGTGAATTGTCATTAAGAAATTTATAAATTTGATTAAAAACGCATCCCTGAAGTATTTTACTAACAATAGGTAGTACCGAGATAGGGCGATAATTCTCGCATATCAACCTGTCATCAGATTTATAAATCGGTGTAACCCAGGCTTTTTTCCATTCATCCACATATTCTCCTTTTTTGATCGAAAGGTTAAATATCCAAGTTAATGGCGGACCAACAATGTCCGCGGATATTTTAAGAGCTTTAGCAGGGATGTTATCTAATCCTGTGGATTTTGAAATTTTGAAACTACGCAATTGATATATTACTTCGTCCTCGTTAATTTCAGAAAATTTGAAAAAAAGATTGGAGTCGGTAGTAGGCCTAGAATCTCCGCGAGCAAAAGAATTTGTGTTGAGGGAATTATCTTCAATTTCAGCTGCAAGTTTTGCCCCGATATTGACAAAGAAATCATTAAAAGCCTCAGATTTTAATTTATCGTCTGAAATGACAGAATTATCCGTTTTAAGTTGGGATATCGTGTTTGATTTCACATTTTACCCATGAGGTGGTTAATTAAATTCCAGCTTTGCTTTATGTCTTTGGACTGAGCACAATCTTCTATTTTATTGCAGAAATAGTTTCTTTTAGCTTTAATTAGTTCAGCATTAACTTTGTTTCGTAATTCCTTATATTTTGTCCAATGACTTTGAGAATTATATCTAACCGCTTTTATTTTGTGGAAGTCTCTTGATCTCATTATACCCTTGATGTCTGAAGAAATCCAAGGAGAGAATTTCCACGAGTTCTCATACGTCTAAGGGGAGCGTGTCGATCAAGGACCTGGAGGTATAGTGATTTCCATACCTGCCAGCATACATTAGAATTGTCATGTTGGGCAATGTTCTCCCACGGCATCTGTGAAAGATCCGTAAGAAAATCATTGGCATTGAAATTTTTAAAGTTACGAATATGTTTAACCTTTTCCCGTGATTTGGGAATACAATGTTTTCTAATAGCGAAAATCATACTGTGATCAGAAAGTCCAAGGTGTATGACACCAGACTTTGAAATATTTTCCTCTTTATTTGTCAGAATTAGATCAATTAGAGTTGCTGATGTTCCAGTAATCCTTGTGGGTTCATCAATAAGCTGATCGAACTGATAAAGTGATGAAAGGAACTGTAGCTTGCGAGTATGAGACTCACAAGGAGATTTCAAGATATCACAGTTCAAATCACCCATAATTATTACCTCTCTATTTTCTATATCGCTATTTCTTAAAAAAGCCTCATATTCATCAAAAAGAGCAGATTGCGAGTTAGGAGCTCTATACCAAGTGCTTACTAAAAATGACTTATTGTGAGGTTTACTAATTTCAATGCATATCATTTCTAGTGAATCAGTTACTAAGTCATTTCGTTCAGAAAACGGTATAGAGTCACGAACATACAATAGTACTCCCCCACCAGATCTAGATCGGTCATGGCGAATGTGAAAGTAACCAGCGATTGCTATTTCACTGTCAGGCACCAAATGGTTTAATTTTGTCTCGTTTATAGCAAGAATATCAACTGGCATGTTTTGCATGATCAAGCGAAGCTGATCAATGTTTTTCAACAGGCTGTTAATGTTCAAGCACGCTAATCGTAAGCCTTTAGAAGACTCTAACTCATTAAATAAATTGTTAAAGTTACCTTGTATGGGGTCACACCGATTACCTATTTGGTTCGTTGTCTCCGAGAAGAGTACTGTCCGATACATTGAGTCCGATATTATTTCCTTCTGCGGGTGCGGGTGCCCTTGTCTGGAGGGACAATTATCTTTAACAGTTCTCCAAGTTTCAGAATTGCCGATCGCTGAAAATCCTCGTAGTTTTGCCTTCGTTTACTTGGAGAGGTTGATGCACTGCCCCCCTTGAGAAATTTGATAAAATGGACTGCTAGAATAGCCGAGCCCTTCGCATTTAGATGAAGCTTACTTCCATTTAGGCATGTGTCATCTATAGTCGTATTGTCAATAAACGAGACATCCAGTTGCATACAAATATGCTGAAGCTCCTTATTAACCTCATCAATCTTTTCAGACATAGCAACATCTCGCCGCGCCGTTAGGCCTGATAGACCAATTTTCGAGTAGGGAAATTGTGACTTTACTTTCGCAGCAAGCTTCTCAATTTTCTGAGCACATTCAGAAGCAGATTCTAGAGGCAGGTTGTTTGTCCCAGCATGTACAATTACGTGAGATGGGATTGCTTTTAGACTATCGAAATTGATCTCCTTTTCGATTTCTTCGGCGGTTTTTCCTGGGAATGTGTACTTATGTACCTTCTTCCTACTGAGCTTCCTTGGTTGAATATTTTTAATTATTGAGTCGCCAATAACAATGATATCCGAACCGATTTCACGCGTTTTAGGATTTTGTTGCTTGTTTTGATGCTCACCCGTAGATTCTTCTTGGTTGTTTACAGGCTTT